CTCTTTCTCTCTTCCTTTCTCCAGTCTCTCTCTTTCTCTCTTCCTCTCTCTCTCTTTCTTTCTCTCTTTTCCTTTCAATCATTCATTTTCTTTTTTATTTCCTTTTATTTATGAAGAAAACAGCAAGAACTAAGTGCTTATTTGGGTACACAACATGAAGGGGAAACAGCACCCTTTCATAGAATATTCCCCATCTTTTGTATGGCTGGGTTTAGCTGTTTAATTTGTGTGTAAATTAATGAATGAACCATCAATCTGTATTACCTGAGCCATTCTCTCTGTTCTTGCATGTCATAAGTATTTCTCCAAAGAGGGAGGTAATTTCCTCTCCAAATATTCTGCAGCAATTCTCAGTGAGGAACTGCACCAGACTAGAAATCTGCAAGAAAGCAATGGGAGAGAGATGTCCCATCAGATCTTCCATTATCACGTCCAGAATAAACCTGCTATATAGATAAGTAACATAGAGTATAGATGAGAATGATCTCCTGCAAGTTCAGGAATATCTTCCGCACAGTGGGAGCCAGAAGAGTGAAATGGCTTCTCCTGCAACACCTGAGGGACCTACACGTGGGTGCTGCTCCTTTTGCAACAACTACTGCTCCTGTGATAACTTGCAGAGTGGCAGCACATCCTCCATTGGAGCCAGAGGTGAGTTTATTATCCCTGCTGGTATTTTCTGCTCTGACCACAGTGAGAACTCCTTGCTCTGCTCTTACTACCCACTGAGACCTTCCCCAGTTCCCCAGCTCGCTGGCTGCTCCACACTGTCCTTTCTGACCATGCTGTCCGGCAGCAGCCTGGCTTCCTAACACCATCAACCTCCTCACTGCTGAGAGAAGGGGATACACAGCCAACTGGCTGGTTTTTGTGGTTGGTCACTTTGGAAAAAAATCCACAGGGTGGTAAGAAGAGCTGTCCTCACCTCCCGGCAGCGAGGAACTCCTCTCCAGGCATCCAAGCCCTAGGAGAATGGCCAGGCCCAGCACTAGCCATGCAAGGATGATAGGGCTACTGTGGATAAATTTGTTTCTCTCTCTAAGGCAGTGTCACCAGTTCTGTCATGAATAGTTTTGCCCCTTACCTTCTCACTGCTGGAAAATGAGATGTAATAGCTGTATTTTTCTAATTAGTATTTGACCATCTTTCTTCTTACACCCTGTCTCTAGAATTATCTTTACCAAATGTCTCCAAATCACACCAAATTCCATCTTCTTCTTCAGAATAGGAGCTGCTGGATGATATTCATCCCTTCTTATCTCCTTCCCTGCTGCCTTTTGCAGAACTCTGTCTCACCTATGTCCCTTGGGATCCTAGACTAGGGTGCAAATACCGTTGGCCTCCTTGTACACATCTTTTCCTCTTTTTGCCCTGTCATGTTCAAAGGCTGCTGTAATTGGAGATCTCTTTTATGGCAGAAGGATTTCTCTAGTACATTGGGCATTTCTTTATGATCTCTATTCCCTTCTCCCAGGAGAGATTTAATTATGATAATGGATCAGGGAGCATTTCTGGGGCCTGCTAAGAGAAGTACTGATCTGCAGAGATACTGTCTGACATTTGCAACCAACAGTCTTCTTGAGCAGAGGAAAGTTATTTTTCCTTTTCTTTTTCCTTTTAACTACATCACAGTTTCTCCTACCTTTTTTGTGAATTCACTTTCTGTATCAGGAGTGGAGGAAACAGGAGGCCAGAGCAGGCTAGGTGCAATGCAGATAGCTAGATTAAATGCATTCATCTGGTTCTCTTCAGATCGCATTTCTATACCGTGCAGTACTCCAAAGATGTAACGTAACAGAACAACATTAGCTCTGGGGAGCTGCTCTATTAACCTGAAAACATATACAAACATAAGCCCTCAAATTAATGACCGGACTAAGTAAAAAGCCTGCAGATAGCAAATACACAAGTCAGAAATAATGAAAATACAGGAATAGGGTAACATGGTCTACTGATTAAAGCAGGGAGTATGTCATGGAAGGTGTTCTTGCTCAGCTGCTTTCCCTCACTATGACATATTTCTGTACAGGTTCCTAAGATGACAAAAATACATTAGGAAACTATTAACATTGCACTTTGTCAAACTAATGAACCAAATAGAATGAATAAAATTAATCTGCATTTCTCCTCAGTTGCCTGGTAATTCAGTATTCACTTTACCAAACAGTTTTTGCTACATACCACCTAGTTGGTGTAAGTATGTATGTATGTAGGTATGCATGAGGTCAGCTAGTTTGTTCTCCTGTTTGTGTACAAAACTGTTTCTTATGGTATAAACTTTGCCCACTCTCTCTTTCATATCACCTGCAAGGGTGGAGGCTTCCCTTGTCACTATGTTCCAGTGTTTCATTCCATCTTGGCTTCAAAATGGTCACTAAAATTCGAGATGAATGAGGGGGAAAATGTGAGGAAGTGATTGCAGCTACCCTTTCCCCCAGGAAACCAAGTTCCCCATTGATGATTTTGCTTTATTTTGGCATCTGGCAGAAATCCAGATCCTGGACAATGTGATTATAAATATTACAAATATTTTCTCAGGAAAGGAAATGATTACCCCTGTTTACTAGCATTCACAAAAACCAGAAATCATGACAAAAGAGAATCAGAAAATTGCCCCATACAAGAAATACATATACAAGGATATTTTGTATACCTATTTAAATGTTGAGGGTTTTTTTAATTATAGATTGTAAATTGAATGTTTGCAATTCTGTATTGGGATATATATATACAGGAGGAGAATATAGAGAACACAATTAACTTTACCTTTGGATGTTTTTTATTTTCTCTTCATTATTCCCCTGATCCATCACAGAGATCCACTTATCACAGAGCTGCGATGACAAAATGCTGCCTGGGATGTTGCGTAGAAAATCCTAATCCAGAGAGAAGAAGAACAAAACACGTAAACAGCTGTTCTGGAGTGTGGGAGGGAATAGGAAAAGCTATGCAGATACAAGGGGATGTACTGATGGGGTAGCACAAGCTTACAAGCATTTTGATCCACAAAGCAACCAAAATAAGCAGAAATCATTTGAGATAAGGAAGTCTTTTGGATTTTATTTAAAGTTAATATCTTCATGCTTTGTCCTCACCCTTTCTTGTCAAAATTGAGGTATTTGCATACTTTATTTGGTATCACTGAACCAAAAAATATGTAGTGGAGCCAGTTATTTTAATGCTGCATAATGTCTGCCTTTACTCATCCCTGATGTCATCTGTAGTCCCCGTTTCTTCTCCTCAGCTGGCAAACTTCAACAGGCCACAACTCCTCCAAGAGAAGGTAGGCGACAGCACCGGGCCACAGTCCCTCCAAGAGAAGGCAGCCATGCCTTCTCCCACCAACGGCTAATCCTCTTAGTAATGGAGTGTTTATACTGGTCAGGGAGAGCTTCTCTGCTCCTGTCTCTCAGTGCTTCAACCATTAGTGGATAGAGTGTTGAAAATGGGAAGAAGCTGAAATCCCAGTTCACAAAGAGGCTTGGGTGAGGGAAGCCAGGGCGAGCATGAATAATATTCACTATTACAGGTAACTGTCTATGTGCTCTTCAGTGTGGCAAACACTAAGCAACAACTGCTCAGTGAAGCTGTTCTCATGGGAGGGGTATTGCACATTAGCAGTTCTCCTGGTGCAGCTGGCCTGCTCTAAACCCACCCATGGGAACATGCACGTGTAAGTCTCACCAATGAAAACCCCTCACATGGCAGCAAGAGGAATGACTTTCTGTGATTAAAAAAATCCCACCCAAAAGGGATTAAAAAAAAAAAAGTGGGCTAAAGTGTCTTTTAAGCAAAATTTACAGGTAATCAAGACACACTGCAATAAAATCTGCAGAGAAATATACTGATCTTCCTCCTAGACTGATGCCTTGCTGGAGGCTTATGATATTTTACACACAAGTAACATTGTCATTAACATAAAAATTTGTAAGAAAAGATAATTAATGGAAAAGTTAATCCAAATATTTTGGACAATTTCATGTAATCACAAGGGCCTGTAGTATAAGGCATTATTGCTGAATAAGACAAGAGGCCTGAAAATCTTTCTTTCTAGTTTTTTATTGACTTCAAGTAGATATAAGGAGACCACGGGAAAGCTGACAACAAAACAAAATCCTTAATTCCTATTGAAGAGAGTAAGCCGGTTAGTCCTCCTCCACATCCTAATTTAGTGGTTATCTCCTCCAGGGATCCTCATAATTTTAACATGTCATCCCATTCTTCTTAACTCATTCTACCAGTTCCTCTCTGGACCTGTCCCTGAGTAAATGCCCACCTTGTTTGTACCTCAAATCTGTGCTTTTCTCACCCAAAGCGGGAAGGGAATCTTCTTCACATACCTTAAACAAAGATGCTGTCACAAATATGGATTCACAGGCTAAGTCCACTTCAGCTCCTGAATCAAGCTTCTCCTTGAGCTCCTTGCAGGTTTTTGCACTTCCTGAGCGCCTGAAAATACCCTCGGTGGAAGGGCCCTCTTGGTAAAGGAGGGAAAGCATGTCCTAAACAAAATTGAATAGGCAGAAAACCTTTTTCAGAAACAGATTTAATTTTCCAGAACCATTAAAATGTGATTTCATCATTTCTGTCACAGGTGAAAACCTCTGAGTCCTAAAGTTCACAAACTAAACACAAGTCAAGTCGCACTCTCCAGACCATGCCAAATCGAACATTAAGCTACTCATTCTGGCAAACATCCCTTCAGAAATACTACGTTATCAGTTCTCAGCACTAATCCTGTCATGATCTCTTCCAAGTACTGTGCAAGTATTAGCCAAGTCACTAAAATATGTGAACCCAGTGCCAGAGGGAGAGGCTAGCAGTCTACTTAGTGCAGTGCCCTGCACCTGACAGCTGCTGCTTCACGTGATGATAAAAAATCCTCACTACTCATCAGTGTGCTCAACATTATCACAGACCCCAGACCAAGGCTTCTTTTCCAACTGATTGGTCTGCAGTCTGAAAACTCTGAGATTTTATCCAAGCTGGTAAGTGCTCCTTTTCTTTGTATCTATCTGTACTTTTATGTCAGATCAGAGTCAGATTTTACCCCCTTTGCTTTTTGGAGTGGTCTGCACTCCACAAGCAGTTCAGAGCTGCTGTAGGACCATCTCTGGGGCAAGGTGCTACTACCGGGGAGGTCACCCAGGAGACAAAACTTGGCTTTTAGCTCCTCTGAAGTCAGTGAGGTAGACAGGTAGACAACTCTCAACATGAGATATTTAAAAGAGAAGAGTAAACAAGCAGATTTCTCCTTATCTCCCTATTTTTAAAATCACAGAAGGACCTGATTTCTTATGATAAATGAGAGAACAGGAAAGGGAATGCTGAAAACAGAGGCTTCTCCTGAAGTGTTTTGTATACGGTATTTTCCAGCTGCTTAATTCTCTGCCTTTTAGGTAGGTTCTTATATACGCTGATCACCTCACAGAGGCTCTCCACAGGAGCAGGCACTCCAAGCAACATGGCATTTGTCATGTTTGCCTCTTCCTGGGGGGGAAATGTGTGCAGATGGACTATCTGTAATTACGTGCACACACATTGTAGTCTCTGGACAAAATTATCCAAAGAGATGGCAAGAAAAGGGATGCTGGGGGAGAGTCTGTCTTCATTAAACTAAGTTATTCTACCAGAAAGAGCTAAGCAATGGCTTTTGGCTATTTTTAGAGTCTTGACTATCAGGTAGGTCTCCTGACACAGAGCAATGCAGAGATGTCTAATGAAAACTACTTTTTAAAATATACTTCTTCAGTATTTCTCTTTTGCCTTTGCAGAAGTTGAAAGCCAGTACCCCATGTATATGCAGCTACTCCAGAAGAGCACCATTCACGACAACAGCATTTGGGTCAGCAGGTCCATTTTCTTTGCAGAGGCTTATAGGCTCTACTGTCAAAAATTGGCTGAAACCCACAGCACAAGGTCTCAGCACATGATTAAACACATTAAAGGTATATTTTGAACAAAAAGTGGGAAGCCCTTCCTAAAGTAGTAAATCCAAGGAAATTACATAAAATTAATGGTGTAAGAGATTTCAGTGTGGTAATGGCTAAAAGAAAGTTCTTCAATTGTGAAAGCAAGTTTGAAGTTTTTAAGCAGAAATATCAAACATGCCTGCAGCATTCAGCCCTGATATTTTCCTTCTCTTAAAGGCAAATCCCACGCAGTACCTCCAGTGCAGTATTCCATTCTCCAGAGATGCGGCATGAAATTAGAAGTAAATTATATTTTGTGGTATAAACACAGTGTTTAAGATAAAAACCTACCGAGTTGTAATTCTAGGCTTAATATCTTTACTTTTTTTTTTTTTTTTAAAAAAAAGGGTTTTCTGATGTTTAAGTTCTGAAGATATTTCCATAGTGCAGCCTTGGTTCATCTCTCAAATGGAGAGAAAGAGAGTGAGGGGGAGAGAGAGAGAGAGACCAGGTTCTTACAGAATCCATCTCTGCAGGGCTTATTTAAATAACCTGCATAATAAAAATGCACACTTTCTCTCTCTCTCTCTCTCAAAAAAAAAAAAAAAAAAGCGAACCCCTATTCAAAGTAGAGTATAGTATGGTATGGTCAGGCAAAGATAAAGCAACATATCAAGCTCAAGCTGAGAAGATAAACTTTTTTCTTCTTTTTTTTTTTTTTACTGTAAATTGATTTCAGTGGAGCTCTGGCAAGTTATTGCAGCTGAAAGCTGAAAGCCTGGTGCTCAGGACCAGTTCCGCAGGGCTCAAAGCAGGCCCTATTCCCTCCCACTGAGTAAATATTTCAATTGGTACATCAACAAGAAGACAGTCCTCAGGACAGGCTCCTGACCAAAAATTCCACACGTCCACCTTATGTATCCCTAGGAATGGACTCTAGGGCAACCCTTCCTATGTCCCCAGGGGAAAGGAGCTTTGAGACACCCCCAGCATGAGAGCTCTCTTGAGAAAGGATGAAAAACCGCTAAGGCCTCCAGCCAACCCAACCTGCAGTGATGTCAGATCAAAAATGAGGAGCCAGAGTGGTTCCCTGCCCTGGACGACTCCAAGGGGGCTGGACATCATCTGCTTCAGGGAAGGTGGCATTTATTTGCAAGTTTGGGTTGTCTATATGGGACAGTAGACACCATGTTCTTAAAAGTATGAGGTTTTGCAGTGATCTTGGGAGCGGTTTAAAAAAATATGTGTGAACATGGAGTTTATTTATACTGCATAAGGAAGGATTAGAGTCAGTCTTACAGCATGGGCTATAAAGAAGAAAAATCCCCGAGGAGCAGCCTGATCCCATACAATTTGCAAGGTACGACATATTAATGACAGCACATGTTAAAAATCAAAGTTCTTGCTGAGAACCACAAATGAGATTTCCCTCTGGTTTCTCTGTTTGGGTAACTTCAGTATCCCATTTACACAGCATCCCATGTTCTCCTTTACTATGCAAAGAAATTCCAGCACTTTAAGAGCCTGCCCAGAGCCTGGGACTCACCAAGAGAGGCTTGGGCAGGTTGTCATCCTCACAGATGGCTGTTAGCAAGAGGCCAAAGAGCTTCCCAGGAGCAGCAGATGTTGAGGAGAGAGGTGCGTTGTCCAAGTGAGTGCCTGGGCCACGCCAAAAGGCCCAATTTATGATAGATCTTTTCCTTTTAAACGACTTTTGGCTTAAGTCTGGGAAAAGAGAGAGGTGTTTATTAGAAGAAATGCATTTCATATCTAATCCCACTGTTTATTTTGTAGTGGTTGCTATGGTTTCAAAGGAAAAAATGTCATGAACTCAACCAACTCCTTGGCACTCGGCTCAGTCAAATCCACCACGTGGATACCTGTGTGTGTACAGTGAACATGTCGTGTCACCCACGCTCTTAAGAGGATCACAAGGATCTGCACTGAACTACTAAACCGAAGGATGTAGGTAAGTACAGGATGGAAAACCTCAGCCTGCTGACTTTGTATGGGGCTGTACTCTATGACTCACTTCCCATCCACAGGCACAAACCCACAGATCTTCGGAAAATTTAAAAAATTAATCCCATTGCCCTCACGTTGGTTCACTGTCTGGAGGCATCTAGCTCCCCGGTAATGTGGGAGAGAACCCACTAATGGGGCAAGGCATTTCAGACCCAGAACAGCTGCTGTCCTTGCTCTCTTCTCCGCAGAGCAAGCCTGTTGTCAGCACCCTTGCTCCCAGCATTGCTGACCATTGCTCAGAGACAGTGCCTGCCCTTTACTCGGTGCCTTCCAAATGGCATTTCAGCATGCTGCCAACACACTGATGGACTGGGGTTGTCTTCCCTCAGATTTCATGAGATATCTTAATAGTGAAAGTGCTGTACAGCACTATCAGCTGAAAGTCTTATTTGCAATGCATAGAGAAAGATTGATAATAGGATGCAGAAAGGAGGTTCTTTCCATCACATCTCACAACACCAGGCAGTGCAAATGCTTACCTAACAGCATGGGGTATTGGGATCAGTGATAGTGCTTGTGAAGAAAACATCAAACGGGAAAAATTATCCAAATCTTTTTTTTTTTTTCCTTTTCTGGATGTCTTCAAAACCAATCAGCTTTGATTCAGTTGCTCACCTACCCTGTGCACATTGCTATTACCTGATTCTTTCACCTTGTCAAACCTTCTGTCTTCTCTCATCTCGAAGTACAGAGTATAACAACAGAAATAAGGACTGCAGTACAATCTGCAGGTTTTTATCTTCTGTACTTTACTACAAGTTTTTTAGCCCAGCGATTCTTGTTATACATCGTGCCATTCTAGGTAATCATGTTCCCTTTGGGAGTGGGTGGAAGTCTTTTCATTACAGGTTTACAGTATGAAGTTACAGTTTAGCATATGAGTGCTAAAGGCTAATGAAAATTTTTTTTCATAAAAAGTAATAAGACTATACAGTTCAAGCAGTCCAAAGCGTCATGAAATAGAAGCTTGGCAATGTCTTGGGCTTTACTTAGTATGTCATGTTTTGGAAGAACACAGCTAACCTATAACTTTCAAAACCACAATTTTTCTTACAGATGAACAGGCTATTAGCATGTGATCAAGGTTTACTTCACTTGGAGTGCTATTCACACAATGGTAAATATATATCTGTGTTCAGTTTTGGCAGCCCTATAGGTCTCAGTGAAACTAAAATTTAAGGCGAAATGCTATTCTGAGGAATAAAGAATAGTAGGAATGGGGAAAAAAAGACTCTCAAAATTGAAAGATCTATTAGCCTCTCATTGTTTGCTTCAGTCTCAAGAGCCAAGGCCCAAATTAAGTGTGTAAGCAAGGGGTAATTTTGATCAAAGGCAGCTCTTTTTTTGAGGGAAATCTGTATCAGTATTTTTTAGCACAGCAGGATAGAAACTAGCAACTAACATAAAGCAGTGAAATGCCGTATCACTTAAAAAATCACTGAGTAACAGGAAAACTCATCCTCACCACATGAAAAGGCTGAAAAAAAGACAGGAAAGTCACTTCTGTGTCACACAAATCAAAAGAGATGAAGAAGTTTGGAGATGCAGAGCAGATGAGAGGGGGAAGATTTACACTATCTCTTCCTGAAGCCATGCAAAGTTACAACACTGTCTGGCCTCCATCCAGCCGGGACCAAGGAGGTTGTTGCAGTGCAGAGGACAGTGCTTCCATACTGTAACCGCAGTGTGGCCCTCAGGGCTTTGCTCCTGTGGATTAGTCCTGGCCCGAATCAGAAAAAGAGCTTTGGTTGCAATCAGGACCAGAGCTCACAACAGTGGCCCAAGAGTGATTCTCATCTGCCCTGGATTGCTCTCTGCTTGTATTTTACAAGCAGTTAATTTCTATTCATAGATAGTGTCCTGCAAGCGCATAGTTCATGCAAGTGGATAGCTCCTCTTCTCACAAAGTGTCCAGACTCTTCTAAACCTCATATCAGAATATTATTTCTGACCAAATCCTTACCAGACAAACAACATTAATGATCTCCTTTCTGTACTGAGACCAAACTGTCAAAAATTTACTTTTTCTTTTAATGGATGTTAAGGTAACAATCTGATGATAGACCAGCCACTGGCAGCAGTCTGTTCTTTCAAGTCAAACTGCAAGCAAGTGAATATGTGCAATGTTTTTCAGGCATGTGCTAATGAGCACTACTGAATGGCTGTGTTTAATTGTGAGGAGGTCAATAGGCTGCAAAGGAATCAACAGAAGCATCTCAGTCCTTCCACACAGAAAATCCTTCTGTACTTTTTTTAACCATCCTGCCAGGACATCTGATGCAGCTGCAATAGTGTAGTTATCCACACAGCACTTTACTCCGCACCACAACCAGTTGTCACCCATGTCTGCCTGCCAGCACCTACAGCTCTGCCTAAACCTAGTGCAGCAGGGCAGCTAGGTCCCCAAAAGACAGGGTCTGCAGGACAGTGATACCAGTGTCATGGGTTATGGAAAAGCTCTGGGAGAAGAAGGAGAAGAGCTGGCTGCTTGGCATAGGAACAGTTTGGCCACACAAATGTTTGATCCTTGTCACGGCAACACTTGCTCTTTCTTACACTTCTAAAAATCTCACACTTCTAAGCCTGCCAACTGTAAATATGATGTCTTGATTCAGGTCACAATAAGAGGCAGCTACAAACATCGGCTGAGAGAATTTAGTAGAATTTAGTGGAGACTGTTCAAACTCTGCTTCCAACTTCATGATTTTATCTCATTTTAAGGAAAGATACATAGAAAAATCTCAGTGTTCAGATAATTCATACTATAAGGAGATGAGCCACTAGAGTATCAATCACTTCATGATGACCAGATAATCTCCCCTTTTCTCAGCTTGGGACAGGCTTTTCTGGGAGGGAGGGCAGATTACACAGCACATCTGGCAGCGACGCGTTGGCCTCATATGTGGTGTTGTGCCTAGCAGTTACCTAACAACAGCACAGATTTTGGCTTGCTGATGTGAAGATGAGCCTAAAATCAAATCAGAGCCCTGACTGGTACATCTCCATTTTCCAAAACCAAAATTAATGAGAAGGAGCTAGGAGGAACACATCGAGCAGCGACGTATGCAAGGTAACCTGGCTTACAAGTAGCCAGACCTATGCATCACTTTAAAAGGTTTTGTCCAGCAAGGATGAAAGTGGATAAAGTGAATGGATTAACAGCCTCTTTTCTTCCCACTTAGCCTAGTTCTTGTGGATCCCCAGCATGCTGCCCCAAAGCAGCCAGGCTTTCCCTCCTGCAGTTTGCACCGCACAACACATCTGCATTAGAGCTTTACAGGCCTGATTTGCATTTCTATTTTCTCTTGCCAGTCAATGTCAGCTGCCAAGCGGGGCCTGTAAACCTAATTACACCCCTTTGCTAGATTGCCTCATACTTAAAATATGCCGTGAAGTAATGTATGATGCACATTACTGGGGAAGGGGGGCATGCAGGAGTTTGGAAAATACATTAATTTCTACAAAATGTAATCAGTTTCTGGAATAATTTGTAATAGACACTGATACTGCCTTGCTATATTTAATTTCTAAAACATTACAAATGGATTCTATTCATTCATTGTGGAAGATCTTTGCTATTGGGGAGGCCTAGGATAACACAGTGTGCATATGTTAATTTTATTATTATACAGTCATTAACGGTGAAGTGTGGCAGGGTTCCTAGCTGAGCATAGTGTGTTGGTGTGCAACATTCAATAACAACACACCATGGGAGGCATCCTTGCCCTGCAGTTTACAGTCTGAGGCCCCAGCCTGGTGAAGATGGGCTTTTTTGTTTTATCCACGAGCAGTGAACTGCCATTGTGTCACTGATATAGGAATGCAAAACAGACAGCAGGTGCTCGTATTTTCGCAGGATTAAGGCCAAAGGCAGGAGAAAGTATTAGCCTCATCCTAGCCAAAAGGGAACCGAAACAAAAGGGTCGTATTTGCTCAGTTCATCAAGATACATCAAACACATGTGAAGGCTTTGCCATGAGTCCCAGTGTGTGCAGACATCGGGACCTTGTTGAGATAAAGAACGCTGAGAAGCGGTACAGGGAACCCTGTGGCAGCATCGAGCCTTGAGTCCTGATGTGTAAAATCATCTTGCTACAGAACAAGGGCTGCAGAGAGAAGCTCAGCTAATAGACTTAAAAAAATTGCAGGAGGAGAACTAGTCCTTTTTGCTGGTTTGGCAAGAGCCATTTGCATATAACAGCACGCTCAAATCAGGAAGAGCTACCCAGCAAAGTCCCCGGTGCAGCTGGGATGCAGAAAAGCGCATCCACCCGCTCCTCTCCGCTTCCCTCGCTGCGGGACCTACCGCCCAGCTGCTGGCCCTCGGCGCGGCGACTCGGCTTCAGCACGAACTGGCACTGCAGCTCCTGGGGCAGCTGCTCCGTCAGGAAGGAGCCCTGCAGCTGCCGGGGGCACGCGCACGGCTTCGATCCGTGCGGCATCGCGTCGCGGATGTGGCTCATTTTGATTCCAAAGGGATGTTCGTGTCCTGTTCAAAGAGAAAGCGGCATCGTCTGTGTTGGATTGAGCGGGGACTTGAAAAATGCCATCTACCTTGGGGGGAAAAGCAGATTTCACACAGCATTTTCTCAGCAGCCTCTGAAGTGATGCTTTTATATATATTTACACTGCCATAAATCATACATTGAGTTACCGTGTTCAGAGTTGTTCAACAAATGTATAGGCAAAATCAGACCCATTACAGCTCTATCACACAAAAGTCCCTCAGAAAGATCCAAGTGATTATTTCTGAATTCAGTGTTTATTTGTTCTACTGTTTTATTTTCAGTGCTCAAAATTTAGGTACTGGCTGCCTGTATGGTTCTCTCAAGAAATTAGATTTTTGTCATATTTTGCTGAGCATGCAAAAAAAGCAAGCATGAGCATGATCTTCCCTCCCTTTCCATAGTAAGTCACAGCAATAGTCAACCATGTAGTCAAAATAGATTAAATAGAAGTTCCTGTCTGAGGCTGAAACAGGAAGGAAATGCTATCACAAGGCTAATGCCAACAAACTATGCTCTACATTAACAAGCATCTTAAGGAACTTGTACAGAGGCAATTAGTTTCTGGAGAAGCTTTCAAAAATGCTACCAGAAAGATGGTTTTGGATCTGTCTACAGACATTGCCATTAAAATAGATCTAATCTGAGTGATGTTTTAGTTAACTTACCTTTAGATTTGCCTTAAAATGAACATTGATAGTGGAAGATTCATTATTAGACACTAGAAGTAGTGTGAAGCTGAAGCAGTCAAATTCTTATTCTGATGAGTGCCTAGGATAAAAGCTGGGGCCTTATCCCATAAACCTTGTGTGATACCTAGTGCAGCATCATTTCAATACCAGACTCTTCTTTTCCAAAGATTGAAGCTTGTATTCGCAGTGAGAGAGAGCCAGTCAATTAGAAAGGTCTTTCCCAATTTGGAATTCTCTGGTGCTATATTTAAAACTGCAGCTGTGATCTTATTTGAATAAGCTACACATAATGATCTAAACCACAAAGCCTGGTACATTTCAAAGGCAAAACAGCTTGCATTGTCTAAAAGGTGCACAAGTTAGATATTTTATAAATATTAATGTTGTCTGACTCCAGCAAAGCATTTGTAGCTAAGACTGCCTTGAGAAGGAATGCTAGGATTTACTGGAGTTAGATTTGCAGGAAGAAAACAGAAAATCCACAAATTTTTCTTGTTCTAATCATCTGCGGACTTTTGGAAAGAAACACAAGGTTGAAAAGGACTTCCACAATCAGTTATGTCCAGCTGCTGAAAAGCCAAATATTTCTCAAGATCATGTTGAGCTTTGCTGAGGAGAAGAATGAAGTAAATGATGTTATGGAAACTTGGGAAGAAATATGGCATAGCTGGACTAGCTCCAAAAGAGGAGGTGACTGAGTGGAGGTCCTGGTCCTGTAGAAAGACTGAGACTCATGCAACTGAAAATAACAAAATTGGTGCAGAAATAAATGAACTCTTTCAGCTCTTAGTGGACACAGCAAATACAGTTGTTCTTCAAAACAAACAAGCAAAAAGATCAGTGTCTGACTAGCTCCCTAATAGGCAATCTGGTGGGACAGGGAAGTAAGAGAACACCGGAAAAACAAAAGAAAACAGGAAACTGCATTTGTCTGCATTCCTTGCTTTCTTCAGCACTAAAAATTAGTGGCCGAATGCTGAAAAGTAAAACCATTTCAAGAGCTTACCAATAAGAGGATAAGGAGCATCTTCTCTTCCTGAAATCACCCAGAGCTTGTAATCTTTTTCAGAGCCCTTTAAAACCAAAATTAAGAACAAGTTAGCCAGCCATTAAGAAGGGCTTTACATTAGGCTTCTTGCAGAGCTACGATAACTTGCACCTTTCCCCTGTGAGCAAGGGAATCCCCTTCCCAAACTTGCCACCACCAGAGTGTCTAAATTCTCCCTGGACATTAGGGGAGGCCCAGCCTGAGCAGTGGGAACTGCTCCTGGAGTTCATCATCATCCCCCAGAGGCAGCAGCACGATGGGGATAAAAGGAAAAGCACCCAGCATGAGCCACTCTCCGGACACAGCTGATAAAACACGCTGTGTAAAAACTGAACTATTACACTTTAAATCCCTTTTCAGTGACTGTGCTACAATAAGGAAAACTAAAGTCTGAAAGTTTCCAGGCTACAGAAGGTGATAAATATCTAGGGATGGCATTTATTCAGCTCTAAAGTTGAATTCTGACTCCCTTTAAATGGATTTGCCCCCCATCTGCATTGTCGGGACTTTTATCCAGTGTCCTGAAGCTCCTGGGACTCTTCCCGTTTGCCGCTGGCATGCGGTGTGGAGCTGATGCACCCCACGCAGCCTTGGCCGCTTGCTCTGCGGCCGACACCGCTCTCGGGGCCGCATTAGCACCGCTGCTAAGTCAGCTAGCAGGAGGCACAAGGAAAATAAATAGGCTATAGACATCTCCAGAGCCTCAGGGCAGGCAGCCAGGAGCAAATAAATACAGCTGAGGAGCACAAGAAAAGGTATTTACTTTTCCTTTCAAATACATATATGAAAGAGTTCACTGCTCTGGAGACAGGAAAAGGGGGAGAGCTGGGACGCACAGTGTCAAGACGTGGATTGACCATCCCCCAGTTGCAAATATTGTCCATTATGGGCTTTATGAGGCCATTTGTCAGCAGGAGTGTCACTGTCCCAGAAAAATCAGCAACTGCACTTATGGAGCTGGGAAACCCCAAGCTCTTCTTTATGTCCCGATGGATAATTGGGAACAGATGATTGATGCCGTTTTGCTGGAATTAGTTGTCATTTTACCAGAGAAAGCACAGAGGAAAAACTCTGATGCATTAAAATGGAGTGAACTCAGGCAAAGTAATAGCCCCATTAATCACACAACATGTGAAATGTAGTTTTTATAATTGCCATTGAAAAGTCATAGAGTTCCCTTCCAGTGGTTCTCTCTGAACATAAAAATCCTCGAGATGGCAAATCGGGAGAAGCTTCCTCGTGGTGCACAATCCTAGGAGAGGGACTCTGATTGATATACAGGCAATGCTTAATTTATTTACATTGCCTGATTTTATTGTGAGTCTTACGATATGCTTTTAATGAAAAAGGCTTTATTTCATGAAGAGGTAGTGAAAAATGGAATATACTACTTGGTCAAATATTTCGTCAGGCAAGATTTTATATCTTTCAGAACACTGTTAATTCTTATATAGAGAAGAGGAAAGGGATGGCTTTGCTATATACAAAAGAATGCAAAGCTGAAACCTACCTAGCTCCTCCTCCCTGCATCCCAAACAAAACATTCTTTTTTTTTTCAGTACTGCCATGTTCCTCATTTTTCTGTATGCAAAATGAGGAAGTGCAAATGATATCCATAAAAAGTGCAAAAACGAAACATCATAATAAAGACTTGCAGTTGTAACATAGTACACTCTGTCCAATTTGCAGTAGAAATTGGAGGAGACAAATTGGAGGGCTGGATTTTAACTCACTGTATTTTATCCTCTTCACTTTGTAGTCCATCTATTATCTCCAGATCTTCCTTTACTGGACAGACTACATGATCCTTAGCTGAGGGCCAGAGCCCCAGTCTTGGCATAGTATGGAACATGTAAAACTTCCAAGATGGATAGGTAGAAAAAATCCCGAGGGGGCCTAACAGTATTGTCCCCTGGATGTACAAAAAGCCAGTACAAACTAGGGAAAATGAATACAAGGAAACACAAATTCTGAGGTTGCTCTAAATTTTCATGGGGGTCTCTTGAAGCCCCATGGAAGCATAAGAGTCATATTTGACTCTTCCATGGCAAGGAAAGACTTGTCAGATTCCATGCATCACGATCAACATAGGCACCAAGGCAAAGACATTTCAAAAAATACTTGTTATCCAAATAGCATGCTGATAGTCCAGTTAGAAAGTTGTCATATAGGGGCTTCTGTGAACATCTGTGTTGTTTAAAGCCACATTGTGAAATGACAGAAAAGGAATGAGGGAGTCTGAATTCTTTTCCTGGCACTGATTCATTTTAGCACCTGTGGAGCTTCCTTTTCTGTTTTAGGACAAAGGGTGACAGTTCAGGCACTACTTGATCTACTAGGAATCCCTGGTCCACTTGGAGCACTATCCTGCATTATCTTCACTCACCTAAAGACCTTTTGCCAAAACAGTTTCATGCCATTGCTTGAACTGGGTGCACTCAATTATTGTGCAATCACTGACTTTCATGTCTCATGTGATGCTAAAGATCCACGGATACTTGGAGAGTTGTCTGATTTGGATACTCAGTAGCCATGCGTGTCTATACAATCTGAGGACACAATTGATCACACATATTTGCAGGTTTTGAAACAAAAGGGAAAAAATAGCCCAAGAGGTTCCCTGCTCCCTCTCGAGCATGCAGAAGGAGCTGTCACAAACCTTCATGTCTTGTGTCACGTTATCTTCTCTTAGGCATCAGCAAAATTAATTTAACAGCAGTTTCAAACATGACTGAACCTTTACAGGGGCGAGAGGCTTATTCAACACTTAACAAAGCATTTGATGATCTCTGGAGGTCTACATATTAAATAGCCACATCTGTTTCATTTCAACAACATTGCTATGAGAAAGGTTTTCATATAAATATGTACATATCCTAGGACTTCGAAAAAATACAACAGAAGACTTTTTCCCTAAAAATGACTAAGAAAGGATTCATTAAAATTGGTGCAAATCTTACAGTAATTCCCAGCTGCTGCAGGGCCATCAGAATTACATCATTTGCTGTATCAACGTTGGTTACAGCTAGGGTCTTTGACTGTGAACAAACAAAAGGAGAAAGGAAAAGTGGCATTAAAAGTACAGATTTGCAAAGAGTACTAAGTGCAATATCCTTACATAATTAAATGCTTACATTCAAGTGTACATTGTTAAGTATTTGTTTGATCAATGAGTTATTGTAGACAGAGAAAAAGCCAGCTGTCTGAGATAGAAGTTTGGTTCCTGGGCCTCATCATTTGCTTTCTAAAGCTGCTCCTGTCTTCCCAGCAGTTCTACCAGGAGGGCAGAGTACCATGATTACTAAGAGAAGAGTTCCGCATTAAAATACATACAAAAGACACAGCCACTAACTGCACTTTAGTTATTGCATGAGGGAGATCTAATGGTTTACATGTAAGTCGAGTTTGTCTAGTTGAATAGGAACTTCTCGTATTAATTGTTTTTTTTTCCCTTTCTTTTCTACTGAATATCTCCCTGGTAAGAAAACAACACACAGAGATTTTTCATCTCTGTATCCTTTGCCACTTTTTATATAGACTTCTCAAACCCGGGTTTGGCTTCTTACAAGGAACGCTTCCTTCTGATAATCCTTCTTTGAGTCACAATACTACTATTCTGGCATCCTCTAGAATGCACCCACTGGCAGTATGGAGGACACCAGAAATGCTGGGTGCTCAACAGTTACAGCAAGGATGAGGTGATTGAGCCTGACCACCTCTATGGCATGTGGCATATTGGAATAAGAGATGTTTTCCATAAAACAGTCTTTCTAGAATGAGATTTCAACACTCAGTGCATGGCAGCAATATTATACAGGTGCAGAGAAACACTCTCTGCCTTGCCACACTGTGTAGTTATCCAGGTCAGTGCATTCCGAACATACTGTTAGCGTTCATGAACCCATCCTTAGCACAGCTGGGATGTGGCAGCACCACTGCCATCACCTTGCAGAGACAAAACACGGGGGAAGGTCCAGAGTGCTCTGGCTAGTCTGGTTCTGCTACCACCACCACCAGCTTTTGGACTGGAGCTGGTGTGTGGCCACCCCAAAGCACTGGCTGGATAAACTTGTGGTTGCAAAAATGACCCAGAAGGCCCAAAGAAGGGGGGTGGCAGAGCCAGGATGTAAATGCTCACCATCAGTCCCATGTCTGGTTCTACACACCCTGCTAGCATATGTAGCATTAGATAATTTCATTCTGGCCATTGGCTGTTCAGGTGAAATAACACCATGAGATTTTGTGGTTTGAAAAGATCTGAGCTGCACTTTTGTACAAGTTTCTGATGGTAACAAGATGCCATGGCAATCAAAGGAATGGAGGGAGAATACTGTACATTTTGCTTCAGGATATATCCTAATGTTCATACCATGAAAAATTTAACATTTGCCAAAAGCAATGACATCTGGCTCTCAGGAGTAGGTCAGCACATTTACATAAATTTTGCTCTTGGCTAGAATATAATAAACGGTTTAAGCCTCTTGTTCACCCTTCCCCCATCTTCCAGAAATGAAATAATTCTTGGGCATCTCCAGCTGCTGTAGCACAGGGACTACAGTGCCATAAGAATTGTTTGGATCACAAAGTTTCCGTATGCTCTTCCATTGCTTAATTTCCAATAACCGTTAGACTACAGCACGTACTTCTGAGAAATTACATATCAGGAAACCACATTTGGCACAGGAGCATATTTTATCTAAGAAAAGGGAAACAAAAAGTACAATAGTGGAATACCTGAGTGCACATATGATTTATAGACTTTTACTCAGAAACACCTGAGTGAACATTGATCTGCAGTCCTTCATTTGAATGGCACTGTTATTATTTACTATCATTTTCTCTTAGCAACATGTTAATTCTAACCACATTTACCTAAATAACGATTCCTGCAGAGAGCACGAATTGTTTACAATTAGGTGTATGCAAGTACAGAATTCTAAGTGAATTATTGGCTCAAAGCCTCCAACAAGGCTTAAGTTCTGAGAAAATATCTCATGTCTTTGCAAGTGCGGAAAGGAAAGGAAAGGAAAGGAAAGGAAAGGAAAGGAAAGGAAAGGAAAGGAAAGGAAAGGAAAGGAAAGGAAAGGAAAGGAAAGGAAAGGAAAGGAAAGGAAAGAGGGAGGAAGGAAGGAAGGAAGGAAGGAAGGAAGGAAGGAAGGAAG